CATCTCCCTCTCCTGCGCACTCTCCTCCACAGCAGGTAAGTCGATTCCATTTCATTTCTTTCTAAATGCCAGAACGCTTTTGCACTGGAGCTTAGAATACAGATCACTACTATTACATTAGAGTTTCTAGGACTATTTTTTGATTCTCTTTCTTTTTCTTTCCTTTTTTTTTTTAGTATGTTGGCAAGTTGTTTTACTGGTAGGCTTTAGGAGTCAAGACCAGGGTTTGAGGCATTTGTTTCACTGTAATTCATATTTGGGCATTCTTGTACTGTTAGCAGATTGAAAATGTAGGATGGCATAAGCTTTACAACGCAGAATTCTCCTGTACCATTTCAGTTAATGACTAGATCAGAGAGACACGGCCATATCCTAAGCTGTTTAATGACCCAGCTGAAGAAAGAGCATTATCTACAAGGGATTTTTATTGCAGAATAATCCTAGCTTGCATTTGTTTTTTATGGATAGGTAAAAACGAAATCCTGCTTATTTTAAACCCTAGTTATTTTCACCAGAGACAATAATAAGGGAAGTAGACCGGTGGTCTGATCCAGTGTGTTTGTCATATGCCATTTGTAAATCCAGATCCAGATTAGCTGTTCAGATACACTGAGTTCAATGATTTGACTCTCTGCATTTCAGGGCTGCTTTATGAACAAAATAATATTTCCTCTTTTTTAATGGAAAAAGTGCTAAGCCACAAGCTTTTGTGACCAGACATTTAGCTGAAAAGGTAGTTTGACAACTGTGTTTTTATCTGATGGAAGAAATTGGCTCCTTACATTTTACCAACCTGTTTCACACTCTGTATGAAATCACACTGCTATGCCAAGAAATATTTGGATAAAAATATTTTATAGCGTATGGTTACTTATTGCATCAAGTATATGATTCTATCCTCAGGCTCAAATGCTTTGGGGGTTTTACCAGAGGGATTACAGAGTTTAAAAGAATGTAGAAATAAAAGGGAACAACTGAAAGTATTTCAAAGAGCTTGAAAAGAAACAGGGACCAGGGAAGGAAGAGGAAATGTGTGGTTAAAGCAGTGCTGGGTTCTTGACTCCATCCCACCTCTCCCAAGACAAAACCTGCTTCTGTCCCATTCGGCGTAACAAGGGGGTCAGCTCTGGCATAGCTCCTGCAGCCGCTGGCTTTCAACCCGCGTTCACCAGGGAGGAGTGCTGGTGTTTCAGTAAAAAATGTGCTGCAACACTTCCTCTGGGAGGGAATGCAAATTAAAAAAAAAAAAGACGCAGCAATTTCAGAAGGCTTGGTGGATGTGACAAGTGCAGGGATTACTGGATGGGGAAGATCAGAGCAATGCTGATTGACAGGAAAGTTTGTGAACAGCATCATCAATTTTGCTTATGCATCTGGTGATCATTTTGCCCATTCCCCGACAACCCAGCACCAAACTTTGACCTGTTGTTCCAACAGATCTTGTGCTTTGTTTTTACACAGCTCTGTGCTCTGTGTTTCAGGATCACCTTCATCCCTGCAAAGAAATGTCTTGCTACGACCTGTGCCCCACCACCAGCAGCATCGCCTGCCCCCAGCCCATCACTAACAGCTGCAATGAGCCGTGCATCCGCCAGTGCCCTGACTCCACAGCCCTGATCCAGCCGCCCCCCGTTGTCGTCCCCTCCCCCGGCCCCACCCTCAGCCCCTCCCCCCAGCAAGCCGTGGTGGGCTCCTCCGGAGCACCCGCCTTTGGGGGCTCCCTGGGGCTGGGGGGCCTCTACGGGTCTGGGGGCCTCTACAGTTATGGGGGCTCTCTGGGATATGGGCCCCAGTATGGATATGGGAGTTCAGCCTTCTCCACGCTCAGCAGTGGATACTGCAGCCCCTACTCCTCCCCCCGCCACCGCC